AGGGGGGGAGAAAATCATCGAATTATATAAATTTCAACTTGAACATACATATTTTTATAAACAAATTGTAACATGAATTGCAATTAAATTAATCAAACAAACGTATAATATAATTCATTAAATTATATATCTAAATTTATTAATTTAAATCTAATTTAATTTACATTGTATATTATTATTACTTTTATGTTATAAATTATTTAATATTTATATATATTATACTTACATCAAGTAATTTCATTTTTATATAAATTATTTTTACATTAATATGATATGTTAATTAAATACATAACAAATATATATAATTGTAAGTGAACAAATACAATAATTATAAATAATTATAAATGAATTAAAATTAATATTATCTAAATTTCACCATAAATACGAGGAAAAATCAAAGCATAGAACTTCTTTATGTATTAAAATAAATATTGAAACTGTTAGAACTTTATGAAAAAAGTAAAATCGTATGACAATGAGCTTGAATTCATTTTTAAAGCTTGGAGCTTCTACTTTCGAAATATTCGAAATTTTTATACCATGTAACAGATGGCAAAGTTAAATTTTTTTTCTCGAAAATGCTATAAATTGTCATAACACGCAAAAATACTGACAACAAAAAAAAAAGGCAAAAGAAAAAAAAAATCACGCATCAAGTTTACACGGACACCAACAAATATTTAGTTGTATCCTCAGTACTCGAACACCCTGTATATTTAACAAACTTTTCCTTTTGTCAACTCCGCATGTACAATGTAAAAGACACTTGTGAATTTTGAACGAAAAAGTATTTTCAAGTATTACTATGTTTACGCGCGCAAGTAAGTATCATAGCGGTCCTTTTTCCGGTATATACGTATATATACGTTCCCGGATCTTTTTTTTCCCCTTTTATATTCTCGACCGAGTGTTCCGTAAAAGTGGCAATAAAAGCAGAAGAATATTCAGAAAACCACGGCTCGCACATATGAGCAAAGTTTTCCTTCCTCCTTCTTTCCTTTTAGTTTCTTTTTTTTCTTCTTTTTACATTCACGAACATGCACGCGCTCTAACTGTAATTCGTAATGATCGTTTTTGTGAGGCAACTCGGTGCCGCGATATTGCCAGCACGATGATCGAATTTGATCTTTTGTTTAAGCTCCGCCTAAATCGTTTCGTCTTCTCCGTCGTCAGATGTGAATTTTAATATTCATAAATGTTTCGTTTGCCGTTATTCTGACAATAACGAACGCGTCTGTTTCAAAATCCTCGTCTTTATCGTGCAAATTTTCCCGAACGAAGACAATATTTTAGGTTATGTTGTTAAGTTGCCGAGTTGGGAACAAACAAGTGATGTACGCTAGGGGAAATTATACATAGTGTTCTTTGAAGCGTATCGTTCAATCGTAGTAACGACCGTGATTTAATTAGACTCACAATCAGAAGAGAATCGAAAGAGTCATTATAAATGTGAAGTAGTGCAGTAAATGACTAAATTAATAAAGCAAAGTATTTAATAAATGTGTTCGTATTGGAAAATATCCAATTTATGGAAATACTCGTACTTCAGACAGCTACAAATGAGTAAATTGAATTGAAGTGAATGATCAGGAAAATATTATAAAGGTGATGAAAAAAAAGAATTTATTTGAAACAAATCTTAAAATCTAAAAATTTAAATATTAATGATAATTATAATAATAATAATGACATAATAATAAAATTGAGCTAATTTTGTAATTTTTTAAATCAAGTGCTTATTTTATAAATAAAACTGACTTACTTTAAATAAAATGAATTCTTCTTTCATGAATTATACTTCAAGTTTCAGTTCAAAATTATTTATAAAAATTCTACTTTTATTTCAAAAAATGGATTATTTATTGAAGTCCGATTCTCTTTTCAAAATTTTTCATCACCGTTGAAGTCGAATTTTCATTTCGAAATTATTAAATCTTTCTTCATCAAAAAATTCATCATATCGCGGAGTTTCTTACGTAGTGGTAGTTTTTTCGTATGTAATATCACGGTATAAATAATCTTCTATTATCCAAATTCGTATTTTTCCAAAAAAAAAGCATCTAAAAGTGAAAATGATTTTCACTTTAGTTTCATCTCGAAGAAGTTGTACGCTTTTCCCTGCTAAAGTGAAAATTAAGTGCTCATAAAAGCTGACGCGAAGATCGTATAAATGTACTTCCTTCTTTTCTTTTTGCACAGGTTGAAGCTGATCCATTACTCGAATAAACAACTTCGCAAGTGATTTCGAAAATTTATTTACAAACGAATAAATTACAACTACACATCGCGAAATATCAGTGAGATGAAATTATTAAAATTCAGTAAAAGTATTAATTTTTTGACAAATTAATTGTTTTATTCTCCTTTTCGATTAAATCTTCGAAAATTTGCGTTTTTATGTTTTAAAATATTCGTATTGAACTGTTCAAAATGCTTACAGCGATGTTTAAAAAATATTTAAAATTAATGATTTATAATATTTAAAATTACTGATATTATACTGTTTATTTTATTTGTTATTAAATAATACTATTATTACTAATTATTGGTATTAAATAACAATATTTAAACATTTTTTTATTAATAAATTATCTATCACAGGATGGGTTATTTTTATAGTAAATTATAGTAAATTAATTGTACATTATAAAATCACACCATTTATATTTTTATATTTTAATAATTATTTCTTCTATAATTTTTTTACATAGAATTAGATATAGAAATTAAAATAATTATTTATTAAAATGGTTTATTATCAATTTCAAGACTAAATAGGATTAATATCTTGCTCAATTTACTATCAAAATTTTACGATCAAAAACATTGAAGATATTCAACTTATTGATTTATAAATATTATAAATTATAATATTTATAATAATTTTATAGATTTATAATTATATATTTATAGATTTACAATTATTATAATAATAATTATAATTATAACATTATTCTCATGATCAACAATTATATTAGTTTTAAGATCAAGCATACTAACCTTATTATCCTTATAATTAACAATTACAGGGATGAGATAGTTTGGGTTTAATTTCTTATTATTCAATTATTTATTATCAAATTTATGGAGAACACTGGCTCACTGCTCGACGAATACAATTACAATCTCATGATGAATTTCAGAATGAAATGTTCGACTCGGGTAACGATCCTGGATCAACGGTGGTTCGAACGAAACGGCTAGAATCGAAACGGATTGGATCGCTCTCGATCGTGAACTCCCTGGACGTCTTGCGGCAGAGAGTTCTCCTCGAGCTTGCACGGCGTAAAGCATTGCAGGATCAACGGCAAATCGACGCGAATCGACGTCTTCTGGAGAGCATCGGGAAGAGATCGTTTCCACTTTACAATGTTGGCGACGCGTCGAAAGCTGTCGACTCGAGGGCAAAGAACGGGATCGAATACGTGATGCAGCAGAAGGAGAAGAGTCACGATCGGAACGTGGTGTCTGACAGAGTAGGGAACTGGCTACGAAACCAGGATGATTCCGCTTTTCGAGAGAGACAAGACGATCCGATGCGAAGGGTAATTATTCGTCTCCCTTCATAGGTGGCAAATCCGTTTTTCAATTTTCCATTGTCGCTTCTAATGTGAAGATCAATGCTGCTGTTGATTTTCTTTTTTTTTTATTTTTAGTTTGTTGCTGTCGATTTTCATGTCAATTGATGACAAAGATAATTACAAGGAAAAGGACAACTTGTTATTAGTTTTGAATCAATTGTTATTGATTTCTTTGAATTGTTGTTGATTTTATACCAGATTGCTGTTGATTTGCTTGGCCACTTGGTGATAAAAATAATTAAAAAGAAAGTAACAACTTGTTGTTAATAATTTTGATTGAATTGTTATTGATTTCTTTGAATTGTTGTTGACTTTATACCAGATTGCCGTTGATCTTTTTGACTTTTGATAATTGAGAAGAGAACAGTCTGTTGCTGTTGATTTTCATGTCACTTGGTGACAAAGATAATTACAAGGAAAGTAACAACTTGTCGTTGTTGATTTTGATTCAATTATTATTGATTTCTCTGAATTATTGTATACAATTGTTTTATATTAGGAAGAATTGAAATGAATCGAGATGATTTTATACAAAGAGAACAGCTTATTATCGTTGATTTTTTGATCTTCACGTTATTCAGTGACAAAGATGATTGAGAGGCGATCAACTTATTATTATTAACCTGTTAATTTTCATGTTATTTGGTAACAAGATAATTGGAAAGACAGTAACTAGAAAGCAATGACTTTTTCGAAGATAAAACCACACAGTTTTATTATTTTTGTTTTATTTTCAGACGTGTATTCTTTCTATTATAATTTCTACTAATATCTGTATCTCATCTGTAGGTGAGATGTAAGACCATTTTGTTTTCACATGATACCATATATTTTAGTTTTTAAATATTTCTACTTTTAGTTTTTGATATTTACATTTTCATTTTTTATTTCTTTTATCCTTTAATTAATTATTATAAAAGCGAACATTAAAGTTATCTCTGGGAAAAATACTATAATTATTAGTAGTAAACATTAACTAACAGCAATTGGCAATGGACGTTTTGTTTTATTTAAATTACACTCTTTCATTATAATATTATCATTCTATTCTTAAAATGCGAATGGTGATTTGTTTTAAAAGAAAATGCGAGAAAATTTATTCACATAAAATACATGAATACATACAAATTAGAATTGAATAAAGAACTCTTCTCACAAAAGAAATTTTTAAAACAAAATCTATTTCATTTTACATTATCTTGTAGCCTAAAATGTAAATCTTGAGGTAATTTAAAATTTCCTTCAACATAATAACACGTATGTATTATTTTCAAATAATGTACATATGTAATTAAATTCATTCTTTACATTGAAAACTGTTGAACTATATACAATTTATGCACTATACACGTACAATATATTGTTGTAATTATTATAATGTTTGCTTTTATTTACAATTAACAATACTTATAATTAATATTATTTACGTATTATTCTTCGATAATTTCAAACGACACTATCATACTTTTCGATCAACGAATCAATGGTAAATCCCGTAAAATTCTGAGCCAAAATTTCTGTTTTCAGGTTCAAACGAATGAGCTGCGTTTACTGTAATCAACACGGAGAATGATCAAGTTACAATCAACTTTCGCTTTATTACGGTTTTTTATCTAACAAGCTAATAAATTGCGTATAGTTTACTTATTATTCGTCGTATTCCTCAGGTTTTATTACGTACATACACAATACATACGCGTATCTATATATACATATATTTTTAATATCGCATTTCATTCACGAATTATAGATTATTAATGCGTCAAGCGTCAGATAATTTGCGAATGAGAGATTGTCAGTAGTAAGCAAAAAAAAAACGTCTAACGCGGAACAGAACGCGTCAGTATTTTCTTCTAAACTTAATCTTTTCTTCCTAACTTAACTTTTAATTTTAATTTACTTTCGAGCAGCGGGAAAAGTGAGGAAAATAGAAGCACACCCATCCCTCGACTTATGCGATAATAGCTTCTTTGTCATTTTCTGGAGTTTCGCTTGAATAATATATTTCAAAAAATAATGTTAGAATAGTCTTCCTTATCCGAAGAAGTTTTGGATTAAGCGTTTGAATTTAATAAAATTTTTAGATGACAAGACAATCACTTTTCAGTTGCATGTGTACAAAGAGACGAAGAAAATTGTCAATCAATTGTAATCATTTCGATGTTGCTACATTTTTCGAATGCCATACCTTTTTCGAACGTTGAATTTCCTTATGAATGCTTCTTTTCGGCATTAGTAACTATCTTTTTGTACTCTTGTCGCGTTCACTTGCTGTGTAGTTAGTGAAAAGTTGTCAATCACGTTGTTATGATCGTTATTCATTGCGTAAATCGTAAACCGTAATCGAGGGACGAGTGTGCTGAAACGAAACACGAAATCAATTTTCTTACCGATAGCTTTCATCAGAAGAAACGATTTAAAAACCGATTAACGTTCACTCTCGAATTAGACGTTTCGCTTCTTTCTTAAATATTAAGTTCTTCCTTTTCGATTCAGCGGAAAAGAAACAGAACAGTATTATAGGTTGTGA